TGTGGACTTCAGCTCCCAGAATTCCCCAGCCAGCAAGGGAGCTGAAGTCCACACATCTTAAAGTTGACAAGGTTGAGAAACACTGACTTAGATGGATATTAGTGAAGGTTACTATACCCATAAAGTCTTTGTCCCCTAAGGATGCTGTAGGGTGTAGCTACTCAAGGAGGTTAGTAGGGGCACCTTGGGAGGGGGTTAAAGTCAAGAGGGTGACCATGGTTATCCAGTGGATTATCTGCCCCCTTTTTTACACACATGGCCTATGTGGCACCCTTAAAAAGGGGCAGGCTTTGATTGCCCAGGTGTGACCACCAACTTGACTTTTTTAACTTCCCCCTGCAGATGCCCCAGGAGGCCCATTTTGTAGCCAAGGAACAGCATCGCGCCTCCACTTTCTCTTGCTTTTCCTGTGTCTGGTCCCCCTTCAAGAGCCGATGTTTTATGTTTGTTTGTTTGTTTGTTTGTTTGTTTAAAAAGTTTACTTCCTACTATGGGTAGAAATAACCCATAAACCCTCCGGTGAGATCTAGGGAGAAATCCGGCACTTTCGGGAAATTCAGGGGGTTGAAGTGAGAAGGCATCGCTCCTCCATGCAGTGCCAACAATGACATTGCAGAATATCCTCCCTCTGGAGATCAAGTGGACTCCCCTTTGCAGATGTTTCAAAAACATCTGGAAATGGAGCTCTTTCAGAGAGCCTTCCCCTGATTTGGTGTTGTTGCCATCTTTTTTAAAAATGTTATGTTCTCTCTTTGTGGTATTGTCGTATTTTTGTTTCACGTCGATTATTTTTCATTATGACCGTCGGGATTTGAGATTAGAGGGTGGATGTTTCCACTGCGTTATTTATTCTCCGTAAACTGCCAAAAGCATTTGGGATTGTGGCGGGATAGAAATATGTCGAAGAAAGAAAGAACTAACAGGCTATTTCCAGTAGAGTGGTCCTTTCTGGTGGAACTACAGACTTTTGAGGATGGTCTGAATCAGAAGCTTGACTTACAGTATTGGCTCTGCTAGTTCTCAGAAGAGGGAGTCCTGTGCAGAGAAGCCACGACGGAGTGCGACCTCCCGGAGTTCTGCAATGGGACCTCCTATGACTGTCCGATGGATGTCTACAAGCAAGACGGGACCCTGTGTGGCAACCACAATCACTGTTTCCTGGGACTTTGCCTGGATCTCCACGCACACTGCAGGGCCCTCTTTGGCCAGGGTAAGGCCCACCTCGCCTCCCCCAATGCCCCTTCTGCTGCCCTTGGGCTCTGGGCCGGGGGGCGGTCATTGGCCAACAGGTGTCTGCTTCTCCTTCCAGACGCGAGGGAAGCCCCGCTGAGCTGCTTCAAGGAAATGAACACACGAGGAGACCGCTTTGGCAACTGTGGCAGAGATGGCTCGGCTTTTCGGAAGTGTCTTGAGAAGTAGGTGGGCTCCCAGGGCGGTGGGCTTTCTTGCCAGTAAGGGGTGGCCCACACTGGCCGAGCACATGGGGAACAGCAGTGCTGAGATGTGCTGCCAGTATCAAGCTGTGGTCTAAAACAGGGCAGGGAGCAGAACTGTTTATTTCAGCCATCAAAGGAACGAATGAAGCCTAAGTCAGAAACAGAGTCCAGCCCATCGCAGGACTGGGAAGGTCTGTTTTGCTCACACATCCTCAGCATCTCCTCTGTCCACATGATGTATTTTATTGGTTCCGTGTATTCCTTTTTATTGGTTTGATACAGGACATTATTATTATTATTATTATTATTATTATTATTATTATTATTAATTAAATTTTTATCCCCCCCTTTGAAATGTATAATTTGGCCAACTCAAGGTGGCAAACATGCCTAATACTCATGCCTCCTACTTTCCCCACAACAACAACAACTCTGTGAGGTGGGTTGGGCTGAGAGAGAGAGACTGGCTCAAAGTCACCTAGCCTATTCTCATGCGTAAGGGAGGCCTCGAACTCACAGTCTCCAGGTTGCTAGGCCAGCGCCTTCACCACTACTATCGTATATTGTATAGATTGTAAACCACCAGGCATAATGTGGGGCTGAAATAAGGCATCTTTTGGTTTACACAATACAGGTAGTTGCCAGTTTAAGAACGCATTCTGTCCCCAAGGTCTGTCCTTAAGTTGAATTTATATGTAAGCCAGAACAGTGTTACTGTATAATACTGCATAAGTAGGTTTGTGTCATTAACTTGAACCATTGGTATTTAACTCGAATTTTGCTACAATAGGCTCCATTCTAAAGTATGGGTTGTCTATAATCTGGGCGCTCTTAACCCAGGGACTCCCTGTATATTGAATGACACAGTAAACAGGCTGGATTTGCACGAGACCTTCATCCGGAAAAGTGCTGGTTATCCCCCATAAACCCTACATGGCATCGGGCCATGTAAGATCCAGGAAGAGGGTCATGTCTGACCCTCATATAAATATATATATCTTGGTTTTGTGCCTGAGCCTGGGGTTCCAGGTACGTGACAGAGCCCATCTCCTGGCTACATTAATGTTTGTTTTACGATGCTCAGCTGCCATGTTTTTTTTTTTAATGCTACATATTTTATCTATTTTATTGTAAGCTGCCTAGACTCACAGGTGTGAGATGGGCAGCTATTTAAATCAAATAAATAAGTTGTTCTGGAGTTGGGCAGCCTGGAAATGAATTAATTAAATCCACCCCTGCCCTTCCTTGCCCATTCACTCAAGTGAAAAAGTACAGAGATGGTTCTGCCCTATGGATGCCTGGGGGCAGAGGAAAGGATTCTGGGTTCGGAGTCCCTTGGCCTGGTCCTTTTCCAGCTCCTGGTGAAGAGGGTTAAGGGACAAATGATTGCTGCATTATTGGCCTCTCCTCACCCAAACGGCTGCTCTTCCTACAAACTCAACAGCACGTGTTCAGATACTTCCTTCCATCATGTACGCAGTGCAGTGCTTCTCCACCTCAGCAGCTTGAAGCAGTGTGGACTTCAACTCCCAGAATTCCCCAGCCAGCTGAAGTCCACACAGCTTCAAACTGCCGAGGTGGAGAAACAATAATTTAATGTCATGCGGCTGCCAGGGCCATCTTTTTCCTCACTGATTGATGACCTCCAGGAGAGTAAAAAAGCAGTAAGTTCCTCCTGTCTTGTTCTGCGTCTAGGGATGTTCTTTGTGGAAGAGTGCAGTGTGTTAATGTGGGACGAATTCCAAGTATTGCAACTGGACAAGGCGTGCTTCAGACCCCAGTGGCGGGTACAGTGTGCTGGGGGACAGAATTTGATCTTGGGGAGGACGTCTATGACCTTGGAGCAGTGCGAGATGGGACCACCTGTGGCCCCGGCAAGGTAGCGCCAACCCCCCTCCTTGCGCGCTCTGAGTTGTAGAGTCCTGGTCTGAAAAGGAGGGGACTCGACTCTGCCAGACATAGAGACGCTCACTCCGAATACTGAGTCTTTGCGATTTTCTGGCTGAGGGGGGTGGATAACTGGATGTAGCAGTAGCTCTAGGCTTCATTAAAACGTAGATAATGCAGTGGTTAAAAAAACAAAACAAAAAACATTCCGAGTTAAAATGCTCTGCACCCGTAGTATAAAATGTATAAAATGTGCTGCTCCACAGACAATCCCTATGGGGCTATAAGCATCATACCAGCAAATTTAGAATGGATAGGCAGGAACTGGTAGATCCCAGTAGCTTTCTGCCCATCCTCTCCCACTAGAGAAAGCACCCGCCATTCACTCTCCTTAATGTGGGCCAGGGAGGAGGCAAGTTTTGGCAGGGGTCAAAATTTGCTCTGCTTTGGCACAAGCTAAACTTGTGTGGGTTTAGATGTGGGTTTACTGCTCTTCTGGAGTAATGCTCTTCTGGAATAGCACTATATCAGAATCATTAAACTCCTTTTAAACCCCTGTTTAAAAGAAGCCCATCGGCGAATATATCAGATGATAGTCCGGCTCCATTTGAAATGCACCCAATGCAAAGGACTTGCGCCAAATCAGAGCTGACGGTTGGTCTCTTTTTGCACGCACCCTTTTAGTGCTATTCCAGAAGCAGACTAAACCCGTAGTCAGAAGCAGCCCAACTAGCGGGTAACAGACGTGGGGAGAGCTGTGCTGCGAAGCAGCAGAAAGAGACCAGTCTCACCAAGCCAGTTCTACAAGCTGGGGATCGGCCCAAAGGGGAAAGGTTGGTTGGAAAGAACCACCGCCCCCCCCCCGCCCCATCGCCCAAAGCAGAAGGGCCCTGGAGAACAGCAGCCAGAGGCAGAGGCCAGAGGAGAGGTGGCATGCCCACGTGAGCCTAGGAAAGCTGATAGGTGCCAGGTGGATCTTTCCTCCAGAGGTCCCCTGGATGCATCCTCCTCTGAAAGCTCACCGAAACACGTCCGACGGCTCTGGCCTCTCGCCTGGTTAAGGTGGGAAACCCCACTTTCACTCTGTAGCATCTCCGGGTGGTATTCAGTTGCCTCAGGAAGCGGCTGGAGTTTGATGAATGCAAGCTCACGAGGACGTCAGGGTCATTAAGAAGATTCAAGTCCCAAAGGGCAAGTAAAGAAACCCCACGCTGGGACAGATAGCCTTCATCTCTGAGCTCTTCTCTTCTTCCTCGTGCTCGGGGGAAAGGGGAAGAAGGAAGAAAATCTAGTTTTCCCGTGGGGCACCCAGAGCTGCTGCTTTCCCATCCTGAGATCAGAGAAAAAAAGCTAGATTACAAGCTGCATTTGAATAATGCATTTTCGTTATTTTGGGAACAGGGCAACACACACTTGGGGTGGCTCTTGCTTATGCCAGTCCCTTTCTGTACTTCTCAGACCAGTTACCAAAATGTTCATGGAGAGCAGGATGAATAAGCGTCCCAGCAGATAAGGCCGGCCTGGGCAGCGCCAATCCAAAAACCAACCCCAAGTGTGGCGGTTTTGGCCATATTTGGGCATGGGGGCTATTTTGCTGAGGCTGGGGAAAACAGAACTTTCTATGCCCGTTTTGTCTTTGAAAGTACTCTAGACGTCCTTGCTAGAAAGGGTTTCTAAGTTGTTAGAATTCAGGCTCTCCTGAAGGCATGTCTCTCCTTTTCTAGATATGCATAAATAGATCATGCGTGGACGTGGATGTGCTGAATTATGACTGTGACCTCTCAGTATGTAGCAGACGAGGAGTAAGTAGCAAACCGGGGGGCAGTATCCATGGCCGGGGTGTCCGCAGGACACGGTCAAAAATGTGAAGGTGGCAGCTCCAACGAAGCGATCAAAGCAAGTCCCGTTGCCCGACACGGGAGAATTCACGGCTCCTTGGCTCTGGGTTGGTGGTAACTGAGGAGACGATTGGATCGTGGCTTCGAAGGTCCTTCCTTGCCCACCCCAAGGGGTCTAGGTGGCCACCAATGCTGCCTGGGCCCTCCTTCCCGTTTGCTTTCTAGTGCAGACATAATTCATTTCAGAATGTCAAATGTATTTATTATTAAATTTATATGCCGCCCATCTCCCTAGAAATGTGTGAATAAAATTCCGCTCTCCCTTCTCCTTTTACGATGCAAAGGGCAGAGCTTTGATCGTGCGATTGTGGCTGCCGTCTTAACTTTGGGGGTCTTCTCCACCCTCCCCCAGAGGCTCCTCTGGTTTAGCGTACCCGTGGGACATCTTGGGACCCACCTGGTGGGACTCTGCTCAGCTTTTGAGGCTAGGTGCCCTGATCCCAAGCAAAGGCTAAGAATGTCTTCCCTTCTCATTTAAGCAGCAGTGCATCTCCCCTAACCCTGGACTGGGAGTGATCTCTGGCTGGGACGCGAACACGATCACGGAGTTCTTGCCTCTGGATTGGTCCAGGCAGCAGGTGAGCCTTGACCATCCTTGACTCCTCCTGGTGTTTTTCAGATCTGCAACAGCAACCGGAACTGCCACTGCTCTTACGGATGGGCACCTCCCTTCTGCACCCGCCCAGGGTTTGGGGGGAGCATCGACAGCGGCCCCCCTCCTGCCTACCAGCGTAAGCACCCTCCTCTTGCTGTTCTGTTCCTGCTTTGCTGTTTCCCATCCCGCTCAGCTCTTGGCGGGTGGTGCTTGGAACTGCCGGGCTGTGCTTCACGGTGGGTCCTTGCTCCCTCATGAGTTCATTTCAGGGTGTGACAGCCTGAGCTTTGCCACACCGCCATCTGCTCTGTGGGCACATTGTCCCCAAGAGTCTTCAAAAACATCTTCACCATCTAGGGATCCCCAGCTGGTTTAGCTTGGTTCCAGAGCTGAGCTCTGAGAAGACCAGCCCAACAGCTTGCTCCTTCTCTTGGCTTCAAATCTGCCAGTTGATACCCTCCCACCCTCCCCTGAGCTTCCAGTCCTCTTTGAACCAAAAAAGGGAAGCAAAGGAGCCTTTGGTTCACCGCCACGCTATCCTAGCAAGTCCTGGGAAGAATGTTATTCCCACAAATCAACTGCATTCCAGCGCTTTCCCAACGAGTCAAATGGAGCTGACTTCAAAAAGGGCTCCAGAGACTGGAATCATCTCAGGCAGGTGGGCCCATTTTCCTTCTGCCCCCAGGCTGTCTTTCTGACTACCTGGAGTGGGTAGGAGGGATGTGGATAAAGAGGAAGGAGAGGATCATGACAAGTTCCCAGGCTAAAAAAAAGGAAGACGCCCTTCAGTTAAGCTTGACCCTTAAAATGACTGCACCCTTGCAGTTTTCTTGGTAGCGTTATGAAGGTGTTTCCAGGTGCCATCTTCAGGAACGTCCCAGCCTGGTTTCCAGCAAGGAGACACAGACCTTGCATCTGGGAGGCATCCTTCTTTTCAGTTGCCAGAAGGTCCCTTTCCTGGCCAAGGAAAACAATTTGGTCTGGCTGCAGAAAGGCATGGATCTCCTGGTGAAAAGTCAGAACTGGCTGCAAAAATGGATGGTGTGCAAGGGCCATCTCCAAGCGGGGACATCTTGCTTTTGGTCAATAGCAAGTCCAATCCTCACAAACCTGCGTAATAGCTAAATACATTCAGGTGGTCATTTCCTGTAGGTGGCCATTGAAAAAAAATTATAAAACTATTTGCTACAAGTATATCTTGCTTTGAATTAATTTTTTTTCCAAGTGATATATTTTCCCTTCAAAAGTTGCAATTTTGGGACACTGGAAATTGTATCATTAAAGGAAGAGCAAGTTTGGGGTATGAGAGATCACTTTCTACTTATTACTTTTCTGAATATTTCAAGACTCCTAAAATACAGTCATCTCTTTGAAGCTTTCATTAATTTTTCATCAGCTTCCAATCCAGTCAAAGGAACCAAAGATGTTTCTTAACCTTGGCAATTTGAAGATGTATGGACTTCAACCCCCAGAATTCCCCAGCCAGCATGAACTGAAGTCCACCCATATTGGCTAGGGGTTTCTGGGAGTTGAAGTCCGTATATTTTCAAGTTGCCAACATTGAAAAACTTAGGTAATAGTGTGTGTGTGGGGGGGGGTCAAATTCCTCCTGTCTAAACTCATTACTCTTTGTTTTAGCACTGAGGTGTCTGTGGGGGGATGGGGGTCAAAAAAGTCAAGATGAAGGCCTGAACCATGCAGTCAAAGCCCTGCCCCTTGTTTACATGCATTGTAATACAAAATGGGCAGAGTGTCTGCAGCGGGGCCACCTTGACTGGTTTTACCATATCCTGCAGACATCCCTGACATGTGCCCCAAAACATGGTTTTGAAAAAACACGCCTGGGGCACCGTCCTTTCGGACACCCGCTCAACGTCCTGGTCCTTCTTTCTTTTCTCCCCAGTCCCTACAGTCGTCATAGTCGGACTGGTCACCCTGGCTGGGCTGTTCCTCCTCCTGCTGGGTGTCTTTATCTCCCGTCACCTGGAATTCTTGTAAGTCAGTTGCCCTCCTGATGCAGTATTTCATGACGAGGATGGGGCCGGATGGCCCATCTGGGTGCCAGGTGGGATGGGCCCAGCGGGACGAAAAGATAAGAGAAGGCAGCAGTTCCATTCACGTCTTGGGTCCCTGGAACAAGCGGACGGTTCACACGCTTCTTCTGCTTTCCAGCTACAGATTGGCTGCGGCTATTCCCAAAAGAAGACCCAGAAAGACAGACAGTAAAGTAAGTGATGGGATGAGAGCAGACTCTGGCTTTAGGGTGCACCCCCACATCCCACCCCCACTTTGCTGTTTCCTTTTCCCTTTCTGCTTTGTGTCCCCTTCTCTTTCAGAGGTTTCCCATCGCCTCCCACGACCTGTAGCAAAAGCAGGTCATAGTCATCCTTTTTTTCCTTCTTTCTCTGTCTCTTCCAGAGAGCACTGAAAGGCAAATCCTCGAAAAGTGGTATGTCAAGGAAGGCCCACAGGTCGAGAAGTGGTTTGAGGAGCAGTAGTTCTGTGAGGCTCAAACGGTCCAAAAGCTCCCATTCAGTGAGAAGTCAAAAGTCCAGAAGTCTCCAGTCAGTGAAAGGCCAAGAATTAAGAAGTGCCATGTCCACCAGGATGGGGAAGTCAAAATTAGACGTCACTTTTGCCACATAGGCATAGGTGGGCCCCCATGTTTTTCAGTGTAATTTCCTGCCGTTGGGCAAATCGTCCTGCTTCTCCGCTCCGACTCTCCAGTCTTCAAATAAAGCGTTTCTTTTTTCCTTTTTTGTCAGCTGGCTGCATTTCCCATTAATGGGTTTCTGCCTGTTATTCATACACACCCAGCAGAAATTGCTTCTCGGGCCTCTTGAGGAAAATGTGATCTCCTTCAGTCATTCCCACACCGCACTGCCTTGTTGTAAAATTATTCTTCCTTCTGGGGGGAAATTACATCTCCTCCCAGCCTGGCATCTCCGGTCTTGAGGAAGTGGAGTGAAGCCTCTGCCGCCATCTCAGAAGCAATAGATGCACCAAGGTTACAAATGAATTACCAATCAGCGGACATTAAGAAGAGAATCAGGACTGGCAGCGAGACGAGAAGACTCCCTCTATCCCATGCACACTGCGGCGGGGTGGGGGGCTTCTTTTATCAGTATAATGGGGAGCTGAGGCTCCCCCCGGCACCTGGGGTGGTCCAAACACAGGGAGCCGGAGGCAGGCAGGTGTGTGTGCTCGGGATGTTTCGGACCTCAGCTCCCATCAGCCTCAGCTAACACGGACCGAAGGAGAGAGTTCTGGAAGTGTAGTCCAAAGAAACTGGGGAGGGGTGGGGGTGCCCTGCCATGTTTGCTCTGTGGGTTGCCAATCCTTCCGGCAGGCGACCCAGCGCTCCAGGGAGGGAGCCAGCGGAGGAGCACGGCTCAGCTTGCGGGTTCCAGTTCAATCCGGGGGGCAGCGGGCTTTCAGGCAAGCAGGGGCTTCGTTCCGTGCTAGACGATAAGCCTGGAGTTGCAGATGATCCTAGCCTCCGCCAGGTGGGGAAACCAGCATTTAGCTCAGTGTTTCTCAGCCTCAGCAACTTGAAGATGTGTGGACTTCAACTCCCAGAATTGGCTGGCTGG